CCCTGAGGAGTTATATTTTTTAAAAGCACTCCATAATCTCCTCACATGCTTGGCTCGCTCCTTAATTTGCATGTGACGTATTTGTAAAATAGTGTATTTGTGTTGGAGGTATCATTTTTTATTGTATCTCTCCGAGTTTTAAAGTGATGCGAAAAATATTCATAACTTACATTTTTAAAACACAAAACTTAAAACAACAAAACCACAAAGCTTTTTATGCCAAATTCAGAAACTGAAAAAAAGAGAAAATACCGAATCTAGAAAAATCGATGATAAACAAGCAAGCAAACAAGAAGCATAAAAAGTGTTTCACAGTCTCATCCTCTTCTAGGCAGGATGGGCAAATGGAGTTGTCATTTGCCACGTGAAGTGAGTATTCAGCAGTCCAACAAGTTGTCTACAGTCCCGTCTTCTCAGTAAGTGTAAACAACTTGCTAGACCTCTGATATTGAAGGCAACATGAGTTTTTCCCGCCTGCATCCTCTCGATGGGTCTCAGTCGTTGCTGATCGAAGTTTTCACCCAGTTTCTGATGGTGGCTTCGATGGTCGAAGTGGGGAGTGCTATAACAGGTTGGCCCCCAGAGTGAAGCGAGCTGGTTATGTTTGCCAACATAATTTAGTCGAGACTTGCATTGCCGAACTAGTTTGGAAGTACTTAGATAGAGGGCTGGCCCATACCTTGTGTGCTTGTCTGTCACTGCAGACACGTAAACTCCTTCCCCTCCACTATTTTCCACCACGTAGTCTATGGCTTTGAGGACTGCAAATACTTCAGCTGGAAGACCGAAGCTTATTCCATAAGAGAAAAGTGAAGTTTATCCCCATTAACGTCGAAAAAGATCCCAGATCCTGGCCCAGAGTCAGTGTGTGAGTTCGGGCTCAGTGCTGGAATTAAACCAGCATTCTCCCTCAGGAAACTCAGCATTATAGACACAAGTGCTCAAATCTCTTCAGCCGGCAATTTCCGCCTCGCCTCATTCAGTGTTATACAACATCCGTTTCTTTTTAGTCTGCAGGTGGCCTTTAAGGCTTCCCCACGTATGAAGACACAAAGTGACGGTAAGTGCAGCGGTGCATCAAGAGCACTATACACCACTAAAAAAATTAAAGTTAAATAAAGAGGCTATAAAGCAACCATTTTGGTTCTTTACTATCGAAACCAGACACATGTCGTATCGTGGATCCCCACTTACAACTCGTGGACCACAATATTTTTTAACGCCAACGTAAATCCCGTCGAGTCTCCCGTGGGCCCCTGGCGGTCCACTTGGACCATTTTAGGAATCACTGGTTTAAAAAATGCAAAAAAGATAATAGACTACGAAAATCAGTCTTGTAAATTTTAAAGAAAATTAACCCATCATATGAGTTCGTAAATGGTACAAACAAAAGTTAAAAAAATATCTGATTTTAATATAAAATTCGGAACTTTGGCTTTCAGTCTTGAAAGAAGGATTTATTTACTCTCAGTTACTAGAAATGATACCCTCCAATTCTTAAGTTTATTTTCATTTCATTCGGTATCGATTGCCGTGGAATGAGCCTCCTACATTATTAAATTTTATTATTCGGAGTTTAGGATTCCCAGAGGATGATTAACTTGTGATTTAAAGAAATAAATTTAATTTAATACGGAATACACAATGAGTACCGATACGAGCGGGTATCGATACTTTAGGCCTTATATTTTTCAGGCATCGATACTTTTTTTCGATACTATTTCCAAGTAAAAGTGTCGATACCTGCATGGTATCGTTTCATCCCTACACATATGTGGTCATAGGTGAACGGTGCCACTCCCATTTTCCAAAAAATATTCTAATAGTTTTTAATTTAAATATTTTTTATAGGTCCCCGATAAAATTTTTTTTCGATGTGGAACAATCTTATGGGGTGAGAGCATTAAAATTCCGTCTTTACTTTTCCCTGTGCATTTTTGGACCACCCCAATATACATACATACATACATATGTGTACTAGAGTGGTTTAAACAATTTTTTTTTGGAAACTCATAAACGCTACCTCAAGATATTGTTATTTGTGATAAAAAAAGAGAAACTTGTTTTTTTATTTTGAAAAAAGTTTTCTTAGAGGGCGCGCAGGTCGATTTTTTTAACGCTGATGTTCTCAATTCTTTTATTTTCTTGACATGTTAAAATGGAGCTAAAAATATGGGTTTTACATATAATTACTCAGGTATTATTGGGGAACATTCCCTTAATTACATACCTGTCTTGGGCAGTTAGAATGGGCCTAGTGCCCGAAAATATACTCTCGAAAAGAGACTAGTAAAATTAAAACTTTGATACTGAACGATCTAGGCGTTATCATGGGTTGGACTTGTTACCAGAGGGTTTCTGGGGTTGGTGATTTGGAATCTGAAGTCAGTTTTACAAAATTCAAAATGGCGGATCCAAAATGGCGATCCATTTTTTTTTAAATGGTTGAATTTGTTCGAAAACTGGCACTCGATAGTTTTTGGGGTAGCCGATTACGAATCTGAACTAAATTTTTTTAAATTCAAATCTAATTTTTTTAATTAAAATGGCGGATCCAATATGGCGATTTAATTAATAAAAACATTACTAAAATTAAAACGTTGATACTGAATGTTTTAAACATTGTCAAGGGTTGAAACTCGTTTCCAGTGGGTTTCGGGGATTGCTGATTACGAATCTGATGTCAGATTTTCAAAACTAAAAAACTCAAATCCAATCATTTTTTTTAAGTTAGTCGCCATTTTGGATCCACCATTTTGAATTTAGAAAATCTTACATCAGATTCATAATCAGCAAGCAAAGAAACCCACTGGAAACAAGTTTCAACCCTTTACAATGCTTAAAACGTTCAGTATCAGCGCTTTAATTTTAATATTTTTTTTAAATTAGATCGCCATATTGGATCCGCCATTTTGAATTAAGAAAAAAAATTGACTTCAGATTTGTAATCGGCGACCCCAGAAACTCTCGAGTGCCGGTTTTCGAACAAATCCAATCACTAATAAAAAAATTTATCGCCATTTTGGATCCGCGATTTTGAATTTTGAAAAACTGACTTCAGATTCCTTATTAGAAATCTCCGAAAAACCCCCTGGTAACAAGTTCCAACCCATGACAACGCGTAAATCGTTCAGAATCAACGTTTTCATTTTACTAGTGTCTTTTCGAGAGCATATTTTCGGGAACTAGGCCCATTCTAACTGTCCAAGACAGGTGTGGAATTAAGGGAATGTTCCCCAATAATACCAGAGTAATTATATGTAAAAACCACATTTTTAGCTGCATTTTACCATGTCACGAAAATAAAATAATTGAGAACATGAGCGTTTTTATAAAAAAACCGACCAGCGCGACCTCTAAAAAAACTTTTGTTTCAAAATAAAACAATACGTGTATCTTTTTTTATCACAAATAACAATGTTCTGATGTATCGTTTGGGAATTTCCAAAAAGAGTGTTTTTATGAACCACTCTAATGTGTACTTACAAAATCGACGTGCATGATGAGAGATTTGTAGAACGTGATTTGTATTTGCCAAGCCTAAAGTTGCACCTGTTAACACAGATGTGCAATATGCTGTATTTTTATACCCGAGCGCACTTGTGCACAAGGGTATATTAATTTTGTTCACATAACGGTTGTTTGTAACAGCCAAAACGAATCGAGATAGATATAGACAAATGTATACATAAATGATCAGGATGAAAAAAGAAATCGATTAAGCCATGTCTGTCTGTCCGTCCGTCTGTCCGTCCGTCCGTGTACACGATAACTCGAGCAAAAATGGAGATATCTCAACGAAGTTTGGTGTGTAGGTTTCCCTTAATTCAAGGTAGGTTGGTATTGAAAATGGGCGAAATCGGACTTTAACCACGCCCACTTCCCATATAACGGTAATTTCCAGAAATACGAAAACTGCGATATTTTAGTAACTACTGAAGATAATTCACTCAAAATTGATATTTACAATAATTTTTAGACGAAAAATAAGAATATTATAAATTTTTGGAAAATGGGCGTAGCCACGCCCACTTATGGTTACATGTGTATATCTTGGTAACCGCTGCACCAATTTCTTCCAAACTTGGCACAGTTGTTGGCCTTNTTATGGTTACATGTGTATATCTTGGTAACCGCTCCACCACTTTCTTCCAAACTTGGCACAGCTGTTGACCTTCGCACAACATACCAAATGGCCGAAAATTTCTAAAATCGCTCAATAACCACGCC